CTCCGAGCCGCTCTCGTTCCTCTCCATGAGGTCAATATTCTCCCTGCACCTCTGCTCGAAGCACAAAAGAAATGCTATGTCAAAGCCATACGTTATGTAGAAAGTAGGTTGGCGTTTCAGGGTCAGTATCAGGAGATGTTTTCCTCTTTTCCTGCAGCATGAGATAATGATGGTGGTGTATGTCCCAAGTGTAGGGTATCAGCAATACCACTTTGGTGTTGGGGGTTGGTGTTACACCATAGACTGTGCCCCAAAACCAGATCATTTTCCATATGATGGAAAAGGTCCTTTTAATCCTGTAACATCCTGATAGTTTCAGCTCTTAAAACTTGTCAGGTGTTTATTGAGCAGGTTAATGTTTGTAAGAGCTCTTTTCCTTTTCATGCTTTTTTCATTCTGTTTCTGTGTTGGGGAAATCATGTGCGGGTTTTTTGAGAGATTTTTAATTTGTTTTTTAAACTACTGAATACTGTAATCATACATTGGATGACAGGATCATGGGAGAGTGTCCACCCAGCCCCAGTGTGAATCTGAAAATAACCTAAGTGCCTGGGCTCTGTGCTTACAAGAGCTTATCTCCTAAACAACCACAGTGTTTGTAAGCAGTTTTATACCAGAAGTAATGATTTTGTGTGGCTTTTTTTTTTTTTTAACTTGTATACTCCCTTATCCTCACTTTTCCTGAGTGTGATGCTAAGGTTGCTGTAGTCCTCTCGCCCCAGTTTCCTGAATATCCACAGAACTGAACCAAAACCCTCTGAATTCAAAGGAAAGGTGGTGGTTTAACCTCAGAGGCACTTCATTTGTGGTCTTGGTGTGAATGTCACATGAGTTTGGATGTGCATGAAATACTGACTTAGTCTTAAGCCAGTTCAGGAGCTACAGCTCCTCGACTTCATCCAACCAGCCTGCACCTTCTCCTAGAAAATCAGGTCTTCACTGTCTTGAGTCCCTAAAACTCATGCCCTCTCTATTGCCCTACTCTTTCCATAAATAGTTCTTATGGGGGCAAAAATAAACTCCTTTTATTTTTCTCTTTTATCCCCTATTTATGTGCGCTGCAGTCGCTGGGCAGTATTTGTCATCACGGTTTTCTAAGTTAATTGATTTTTGAGAGTTCTGTAAGTGCGTGTTTAACAATTGAAAAATCCCAACGGTGCTACGGTAACACAAACAATAAACACACGTTAATTGGTTACGTTGGGCAATTATCTCTGTTTTGGCGGGACTCGAACCCGCGGTGAGAAGGGACAGCGTTCCGCCTGCCCGCCAGGGGGCGCCGCGGCCCTTATGGCGGCTCTGCAGAGGGCGGGAAGCGGCGGGCGCTGCCCCGGTAGCGGAAGGGCGGGGGCGGGGGG